GCCCCCGATCGTGGCTCAAGGCAACATGCTGTCCATTACCACCAGGTATGAGGACACAAGGTAGGTGTGGATCTCATCTGATCCATCCTCAGTCGCCCCAAATGAGAGTAAATGTGTTACTTTCCTTCAAGTCCTGTCGTATTATTTTGTATGCACAAAGGTTTTAGAACAGAAATATCTTTCCCACCACCACAGCGATGACAGGGTTGAGAAGTGGATCCACCTGTGTCGTTCTGCTTCTAAACAAAGACACAAAGACAGTGTAAGTCAGGGAATTCCTTTAACATACACTTTCATTTTGAATAAGGCATTAAGTTAGAACTGGACCAGGGGACCCTGAATCCTCCCTTAGTTATGCTGCAATAAGATTCTTCTCATGTCACTTTTCTGACTACGTGTTTATACGCCACTCTGCATCTTATTATTAGTTATTATTATTCTCTTGCTCTCTGGCACAGCAGCCCCTTACCTGAGCCTGGTTCTGCTGGAGGTTTCTTCTTTTTAAAAGGGAGTTCTTCATGGCCGCTGTGGGGTATGTGTTATTGTAGGGTCTGATCTTACAGTCTAAAGCACCCCTAGGGAACTGTTGCTGTGATTTGTAATTTTATTTATGTAAATAAAATAGAATTGAACTGAAAATTGTAATGAAAAGCAAAACAATTTCAAACAATAAAAACTAAACTAAAATACATAAACTGACAACAGAAAGTAAGTGAAACTAGACAAAATTAAAAACAAATGAAAAAATGAAAAAGCAAAACTACAGTAACTCTGCAGTTACCCCACCCACTGTCGTAGAAGCTGACTAGTGTGAGTGGGCATCAAGAGGCAATGGAGGAGGCTGACTGTAGGTGAGCAGCCTGAAGTTTAGAGTGTCGTGGAGAGTTAGCAAAACAAAAACACTGTCCCACTTTTAACCCCTGACTTTGACACATGTCGTCTCTTTTTATGCGACAACCTCTGGTGATTAATATAAAAACCAAGATTATCTTTCATGTGTTTCTGTTAAACTGTTTGAATTCTGTTTGAATTACGTTGTCGCTTGCAATTAGGTCCCATATCACTCCCATGTTAAAATCCTTACACTGGCGTCTGGTTGTGTACAGATATCAGTTTAAAATCCTCACTTTTA